TAACCGGTCAAGATTTTCAAAACACGAAATGGCCGGCAGTCCTATATTATCAGTAAATTTCACAAAATCGAAAGATTTTAGCTAATCTAAACTATCCTATGTCGATTAAGACAGGTCAAGCGATCCTGAAATGCTTTATAGATCTCAAGTCTAGTGTTTGGTTTGCGCTGGGCTCAGAAGACGAAGCCGTGTTTTGTGACACGTAGAACTTTTTTCAGCTCAACTGCCGGTCAAGGTTTTCAAAACACTAAATGGCCGGCAGTCCCATATTCTCAGTAAATTTCACAAATCGAAAAAATTCAGCCGTTCTGAACTATCATAAGTCGTGATCCTGATCAAACCAGCCGGTTTTGTGGGATTTCTATATCATGTTTTGTTGGTGTCGAGTCTTTGGATGTTCGTTACTATTTTTGTCCAAAGCATGGCGTGACAGGCGAAGTTTGACGTCATAACGTCTTGACCTTTCATGCGGCCTCCGCGGAAAACGGGCGGGAAAAGTCTCGACGCGTTATTTCCCCTCTGGAGCTAGGCCTACTCTGGGACCTTAAGTCGCCTAAAGTCACCCAAAGTCGCCTTAAGTCGCCTAAAATCGCCTTAAGCTGCCTAAAATCGCTTTAAGTCGCCTAAAGTCGCCTTAGGTCGCCTTTAGTTGCCTTAAGTCACTTTAAATCATTCAAACGTTAAAGAGGCTCAAATTGTCTTGTAGTTATTACTTTCTAGGTTTTCTATTTCCAGAATGCATGATTTCTCATTAAGTGTGTAATAACCCATGTTCAATAATATTAGCAACAGACCCACCCCAACCCCCACAAAAGAACTTCCACAGTGACTTAAGACCCATTAATTTCTTCTCCAGCCCTCTAATTTATACATTTAATTACTTTAGGCAGTTTAATACACGTAATAATTAGTCGTAAGCAATAAAAGAATAATTATTCCTGTATTGTTTATGCAAAAATGACAACATATAGTACACAACTTTATCCAGTCACTTGTACAGGTATTTCATTAATTTCATCCGGGAGGTTTGTCTCATAATTCTGAGTAAAAGTGTTTTTTAAAAAGGGATTCAAAGGTTCAAGTTCTAGCTAAATTATATTAAACAGCGTGCAAAGAGAGTAGACAGAGTAGTGTCCAGGCAATAGCCCTGGGGTACTGGATTTTATGATTGGGCTAGTGAACTGTGTTTTTAACTTGCCTGGCTGGCAAGTAAAGTTTGTTAGGGAATTCAGATTACAGAAGAACGGTAATCAGTCCCATTCATAACAAAAATCGGGGTCAGTCAAAATGGCTTTCAGGCTAGTGTATGCTAGGCAAGCTGTAAAGCTGACTTTCTTTGAAAGACATTTCAAGTAACTAAGATCAATACAGGTAGGTTGCAGGGCGAAAAAAAAAAAAACAATTGTTGCCGCCACAACATTAATCTAAATTTTCTGGTAGTTAATACAAGCCTAAAGGTCTATCGAAAAAAGTGTCCATGTAAATTACCGACCCAGATTTTAAGAGCAACTAATGATAAGTGTTTTCTCTGGCACACAACCTCTGATCTGTATTTACCGTCGAATTATATCCATCTATCATTGACAGAAACACAATCACTCTTACAAACTTGAACACAGCTTAGCTTGTACAGTCGTCTCTTTAGGTCTTCCCTTCCAGACAGAAATTCAAGCTTTGTACATCAAAGGTGCGTAAAACTGCTCTTTGTTTATGTTGTCGTGATTGCTCCCTGCCAACGATTTGATGTAATCGACCATCATTGATGAAGAACGTAGAAAAGAGAAATAATACTGTTCTTTCCTCCACGTTATGTCCGCCCAGAAAGTACTGTGTTTTAATCACGTGACTAACTGGTCTGGAGGCGGGGAGAGGGCGGGACCGAGAAACAATAGAAATTAGCTTGCGACCGCAGTGGAATTCTGGGAGAAGCAAAATGGCGGATAGAAATTTGCTCTTGTTGTTGTCAATTGTACGTCGCGTTTTCGTTTGAAGATCTCCTTTTAAATGGAAATTTCTCAGATAATAAGGGAATCGCTTACACTTGGTACTGCCATCGGTTTAAACATGACACATAATGCTTCTTTTTGTGCTGAGAGCGTAAACGCTGCCGCGTGGAACATAGCCATACATACCCCTACTTGGCCCTACATAGCCAAACATAGCCCTACATAGGCATACACAGCCCTACATAGCCATACATAGACAAACATAACCCTACATAGCCACACATAGCGCTACATAGCCATACACAGCCCTACTTAGCCCTAATTGCCATACATAGCCACACATAGACATACATAGCCATACATAGCCCTACATAGCCCTACAAAGCCATTCAAAGCCCTACATAGCCCTACATAGCCATACATAGCCATACATAGCCATACATAGCCAGACATAGCCCTACATAGCCCTACAAAGCCATACATAGCCATACATAGCCCTACATAGCCATACATAGCCCTACATAGCCATACATATACATACTTAGTCATACATAGCCATACATAGCCATACATAACCATACATAGCCAGTCATAGCCAGTCATAGCCCTACATTGTCCATTGTCCGCAGTGACCAGATACCTGGCTATCGTCAGTAGGTTCCTGTGCGAATATTCTGGCCCGTTTTCAGGTATGTTTTCAAAAATACGGCTCGATATGCTTTGATATTTTTGACAAAAAAAAAAAACACAGATTTTGTAACTGTTTGGAACCAATATGAAGACAGGATATGAGTTTTATACCCATAAAACATTCGACTGGTTTCATCTTTATCTACTTAACAGACCCTCCAGAATAGTCCATTATCGTCCTTTTTGTTGTTGGCTTTTTTTGGTTTGGTTTGTTTTTTTCAAAGTAATCATGAATATAGTCGATAAACACTGATGGCTATCAGTGGCACGGTGAATAATTAAATAAATGCTTTTAAGGTAAGATTAAGAGCAGCGGGGGAAGCTACCTTGAATGAAATCCAAACGATGTTCTCACAACTTGCAAAGCGATCAGCAAGGCTTTTACCAGCGGATTTGTGTACTGATCATGCGCATTACGTCAAAAACCATTTTAGGCATCCTACTGATGAACAGTTGGGACACGTAGATATATTTTTTAGCAACTACTATAATTTGCAGTCTGTCTACTTTGAATAGATCAGCGGTCTTGAGAAGAAACAAAAACAGGGCGGTAGAAGGCGGGACTGTTTCTCACTATTATATTTTGGTAATTCGCAATTTTATTGCCGGATTTTATGTCGCTTTTCAGACATAGTGTGTGGTTTTCCTTTTCTGTTAAACAATTTCCCTCTACAGAGTTTGGAATATGCGACATATAGCTCCGTATAGCTGATAAGAACCGCCGAAGAGTTGAGCTATCGAGCAGTGTTTTGCTGCAAACCTTAGGAAAGTTAAAGTCGATTCAAGGTACAGAGCTTTCAGTAGTAGTTGTGATTTGTCTGTTAGGTTCGTTTTGAATTTTAACTTTGGATTCAAGGTGTTGACTGATCGTAATAAACGAAGTGAAATGTTATGAAGTGTGAATGTTTATTCTGTTATGATATGTAGAGCTAAAGCTCATATTTATAAAGCTCTCTGAATATACTAGCTTCCGATAAATTTGACACTTTCTTCAGTAATTTTTATCAGCATCAAGTTATCTTTGCCCGGCAAAAACGATGTAACCTGTAAGTAGATCGAGCGCGTTGTTGTTGGTTGATATCTAACATGGTTGCGTTTTTGTTTCGTTGTGGCTATATGGCCGGTAACGAATCAAGGTGTTAAAAACACTAAATGACATTGGCGGGAAGCTTAGCTTGTCACTGTGGATTAGTACCTATCCTGAAACTGAGTCAAACTACCAGAAACCTGAACAAAGTGTTCCTAAGCTGTCCCAAGACCAGGGAGACGCGATGTGGCTATTTTTAGTGGATTCATCAAAAGCCCAAACCCAACTATGTGCCTAAAACAGGCACCCGATCTGCCTTGAGAAAGAGATTGAATGACATGGTGCAAGAAAGAATGCAGAAATGCCCTAAAGTGTGTGAAACCATGGGAGGAGTTATGTTTTTTTGAGAACTTTGCTTAAGAACTTTCCTTTAATTTGCTGTAAAAAATGTTGTTGTTGTTTAAAATTAAAAAAGTTGTTGACGTGAGTTCATGAAAAACGTGTCTTGATTTGCCCAAGACCTAGTGATTTAGTCTAACGTCATGACCCAACGTGTCCAACCCCTGGGGACTTCATAGTCCCTCTTAGAATGTTCAAAAGTATAAAGGGGTGATTTGTTTTAAAGTCAGGCCATATAACCATGGGTAATCTACAGTACCGAAGCACGGTCTGGATCCGTCGGCAATTGTGTCAAGACTCTGTCATCCCTCAAGACGCGTGTTCTCCGATTCCTTTATTCATATGTATGATGAACCAACAAGTGTCCTGGGGCCGTTATGCTGTGTATATAACCTGGTTGGATCAACAGTTTCCTTCTAAACGACATATTGTGTTTCGCTATTTAAAGAGAGACTATCCTACTTGGATGTATTCATACCATTATTTGGTGGGACAATATCTGCTGTATCATGTCACTAAAGCTGTCTGGTTCCTATATCGATCCCTCAGAACCAGGATCATTAGGAGGTGTAAATGCGTTCGCCAAAGTAAAGAAGATTTCCCAAGCCCAAGCGAAACAACAATTGGAACAGCTTCTGAGTTATATAGACTGCATAAGCCAAGACGTCGACGTTTTCCAACCTTACCCACCAAAGTCTTTAGCATCAATGAAAAATTTGTCATGGATTTGGTCGATCTTCAAACATTAGCCAAATACAACAAGGGCTACAAATATTTACTCACCGTGATTGATGTGTTGTGGAAATACGCGTGGGTGGAACCGTTAAAGAGTAAAAGTGCCACTGCTTTGGTCGAAGCCTTAGAAAGACCATTTTTCCAAGCATGGAGATCCTCATGGCTCGGTGGTGGAAGGCTGGAACCGAACGTTGAAAACCACAATGTTTCGCTATTTTACGGCGAAAAACACGTTGAACTATATTGAGGTGTTACCCGCTCTCGTGAAAACCTACAATCATTTGTTTCATCGTAGTATTCAAGAAAAACCTGTCAATGTCACTGCCAAAAATGAACATGAAATTTGGTGTCGTTTGTATGGTAGTAAAAAGAAGAAAAAAGACGTCAAAAAAACCAAATGTAAAGTAGGGGAGAAAGTAGGATTGAATAAAAAATTTCGACCATTTAAAAATGGCTATTTGCCTGGGTGGACCGAAGAAGAGTTTTAGTGAAACAAATTTATACCACGAAACCTGTGGTCACGTATAAACTGACAGAATGGAACGGGACCCCTATAAAAGGCACATTTTACGAATCGGATATTCAAAAAGTCGTGTTACCCGATGACGCATTATTTCGTATTGATCAAGTGTTAAAACGCAAAGGCAATCAAGTCTTTGTATCTTGGAAAGGCTGGCCTAATGAGTACAATAGCTGGGTGAGGAAAAAAGATTTGCAAGAGCTATGAAGGAATTTCGTATCACGCTAATCAGCGATCCCACAGATGAATACCCCCACAACAAGAACAATAGTTTTTAAAGTGCGTTTACCCGTTCGACTCAATTTAGAAGGCAACCAATGGCAAGCCAGTTTGTGGAGTATGTCTGTCGCGGATGTGGGTCATAGTCCCACCGTCATTAACACCAATAACGACGCCACGTTATTGAAATATCGCTACACCTTTACTTCACGTTATCAAGACAGCAATACCGATATTTTATTTCAACAATATGCCAAAGCGTTCAGCAAAAATCAATTGAAAGAGATTTTGTCCACACTCCAAAAATCGGATTTGCAAGATGCCCCCAATGGTTTTGAGTTTATGGGCAAAGTCTTTCGCTGGATGGAGCAGGATTTAAACCAACAATTACCCACAGGGTATGCTTATACAGATGCTCTTGACTTTTGGCGAATGACGATTACCGCTGAAGATAATCACACGACGTGGTTGTTACGTTTTACGGATATTAACCCCACGAATAAAAAAAGTGTACCCTATTTCGCCATCAATCTTCTCCTAGCTCAACGGATGGGTTGGATCAAAGAAACAGCCAGCAGTGTGTATGATGTGCGCTCCAATTTAATCATGGAACTTCAAAATAACCAAACCACCGTCAAACCTGATCCGGCGACCTATAAGAATAGTCAATTTACGTTTACTAAACCCATTCATGTGGCAAATGGATTGGTTTATCTTTCCTCTACCTTTCTTTGGCGGTTTGTCAATTTAAATGAGGCCTTTGACAAAGTGATTCGTCAACCCTATGAAACCCCTAAAACAGAAAGCAATGTCTTCAAACCCTGGATGACCAATCTCAAGTTATGGAAAACAGTGTCTGGACTGGACTTGGAAGACTCCTTTGTGGACCTCCCCGTGTCTTCCCATTATTGGAAACCCACGACTCTCAGTGTATCTTTATTGGAAGGAGTCAAAATTGTGGTTGGTGTGTCCAAAGGTGAATACAATGGGGAACTGGAGATTGTTATGAGCTCCTTAACCCAAAACAAAAGCTATACCGTGGCCTTAGAATGGCACCAAAAAGATGCGTGGTTGTTTAAGGGGTTGGAAGTCAAGTATTTGACCATTCAAAAACATACTCATGAGCAGAACAAGACTCGTTTGAATTATTATCACACCCTTACAATTCAATTCACCAAATCTGTCCGTGACGATGCTACACTGAATATTAAGTTTGAAATTGGGTATCCACTGCTTGGTAAATACCCGGATGAATTGAAAGACAACACTTTTTTAGTTCTGTATGGAGTGGAAGGTCATGTGGAACATGTGCCCGATGTGTACGATGACCACCCAGTGATACGCACCACCCAACCAACAACAGAAACGATTACTACCAGTACAGGTGACAAGAAAGCTTCCACCACTCCCAAAAATCACGGACAAGTCAACACACGTCCTCTGTTTCTGTCTTGTAATTTAACCAAAAGTGTATATGGCTACAACACTGTCATGAAGACTGTCGCTTATAAGAACGAAAACACCTTAATTGAATGTAACCCACTTCAATTTTATTCTCTGCGAAGTCATTTGGTAGACATTTTGGAAGTCACCTTGACAGAATGGAATAAACGTATACCAGACTGCAATCAAGATAGTCCTGTAATTTTACCCTGTTTTTTTAAAAAGAATCTGGAAGAGTTCCGAAGGAAATACAATAGGATTGAAGAGTCAGTGGACCGTGCCCTGCCTATATAAGCACGGACTCTGTTGATGTGTCATCATAATGAGTGAGGTCGAGTGGATCAATGTGGCTGGCAAATCACTTCTCTATTGCGCTGAACTGTTAGACAACATCAAACGTCTCAAAGAGTTATTGGAGAACACGCAGAGGGAAGTCACTAGACTCAAGACAGTGGTAAAAGACCTGCAAGAGCAACATGGCTGCGACACAGTCCACTAAATTGGAATTGTTGTTACGACGCATGGATCCTGGTAAATTTTCTTCCTACCAAGAATTTATGCGTGCCTTACGCATTGGAGCGTTGGCCAACACCAACTTTACCTTTGATGAATTGAATTACAACTTGTATGCGTTGAACAAAGTCATGTTTACTCAACTGAACCGAGAAACCACCGCCTTTTTCAAGTTATTAGCAAACAGGCGACCTGATGTAATACTGGATGGTCCTACTTCATGAGGATGAAAAGCAAGCATCAGCATGGACTCAATCAATTATGATGGAACCCGGCAACAGTCTAGATCCAATTTTAGGGCATGTGGATCCTTCCATTGCACAAGCTAAGGTTACAAAACGTTTATCCAAGAATTGATTATCCAAGCCATCTGTCATCATCATCTTAATTTTAACACATTGAATCAGTATTTATTGCACTTTAACAAAGAATTGTTTGACACGTTTTGTCAGAACGTGATTTCTAACTATGAGATGTATGCCAGTCCAAAGATCAAGTCTTATGGAAGTTAAAGAACAAGCAATTGGAACTAGCAACTTTAAACTAGGAAACAGAGAGAATCTTTGAATGTAATCACATTTGTAGTAGACTAAAAACATTGTTTTATTATAACTACGGTCTGATTGTATTGTGCATGCGTTCTACACACTCCATAATCCCTTAGGCAACGTTTTGAAACGTTTTGACCCAAGTTGACTTTGTGCGCATGCGTCGTCCACAATTGCGCAGGGGACACAAATTCTATCCCACAAAGGTGAGCTGACATGTTTATTCTCATATATAAACTCCCCTTTTACTAATCCCTTAGTACCTGAGGTCATCTGCCATTTCAAATCCGCCATCTTGAATGACGTCATGGCGGCCGCCATCTTGGATGGGACTCTTTATGACTAGGAGTAGGACTTGGACTTGAAGGACTGGCCTTCGGCCGCCATCTTGGATTTTCATGACTGAGGACATTTCGCGATCACTACATGAATTAGTGTGCTGAGGAGGCCACTAATACTACTGACCACTAAACATTTTTTCCATCGCTGCAATCAGTTAAAGCACAGAAAAGAGTGTAACACAGGATATGGATAGTATTTCTGACAGTGTAGTATCTCGGAGCAGGCAGAAATGTAACTATTTTATATTTTGCTTGCACGGATCAGCGGACTGGTTTGGCTAGGAGGAATTGTAGGGTAGTTTTCTGAGATATGTAGGGTTGTTCGTTTTAAATTCGAATTAGTCTAGGTGAGCATTTATTCGAACCTCTAAGTTATATTTCATTTGTTAATTTTGTTGTATTTGTATGAAGTCATTTGGCAGTCGTTAGTTTCTTTGCACCCCTGCCAGTCTTCCCGCGAGGTGTCGGCACCGCCAAGGGTGACCTACAGGCCCCTCCTTGTAACTATTGTTTTATGTGTTTCTTTCGAGGTAATGTGGGAAAAATGAACCACTGTTGTTCTTACTGATACCACCTTGAATAAGTAGATGTAAGAGAGAATGAGCTAAGAGAGCGAATCCCTGTGCCCCATGATATATATTTTTAATCTATTTAAAGTTCGCACGCGTGCTGCGTAGGTTGTTTTTGTCTGTTGTTTCCGTGACCCGCGTGGTCTACTTTCATTTGAGCGTGACATGTTTCGCCACCAAACATTTGAAGTTTGACAGCCATTATAGTAATTATCACCAGGAGCCGATACTAATCGGCTCTTGTTGTTGACATGATGTTTTTTATCAGCGCGTTCTGCTCATAATCTAGGAATGAATTTCATTTACAAAGGGATTGCAGTATTGGAGTCAAAATTTCACTTTGAGATTAGAGGCTGAGATTTTCGAACGGCTGGTAGCCATTTAAAGTAACGAATGTTGAATTCTGACACACCGTGAAAGCCAAAGGCAAAGGTTATCACGCGCGAAACACGTAACCTTTAATAGGTGGCTTGCTTCAATTGTTTATGAAAATGTGCAAGATATTTTTTCTCCTTTTCTAGGAATGTTTTTCGTTCAGAAACGGTACATTTGCTTTTAAGAATTATTCTTGAGAGTTTCAAACTGCATTACTTCTTCTTAAGGACTAATACTTGCGATGAATATTTCTCCCTGCGAACACAAATCAGGTCAAGTGCTTCAAGCTGTTAGACAATGGCTAACCTGCATGCCACAGACTTTTTATGCGCGGTGTCCGGTTTCGGTCGCGAGCGGTGTGCCCACATTTGTCTAGCGCCCTCTCAAAATCTAAATGTTTGGCGGCCAAACATTCATGTTTGAACCCACTTTGAACCTATTTCCTCGTTACGTGTCCACGGTTGGATCCAAACGACGGTATCACAGCTCGCGGGTGTGCATGGATGTCGCCGGAAGAGACAATTGCCGTTTTTATACAATGTCTTTATACTAATGTAGCGAAAACCTCAATTAACAATTTCAGTATAGTCGGAACCGCTTTCTCTGGCGAACTTCCACAAGCCAGGACCATTTTGCTCTTCGGCATCTACTCTGACCAGATTTTTGACTCGTCGGCGAAAGTAATACCAAGTTTGCACGTCACATCGCTTGCTGTGCGTGATCGGCAGTGAAATAAATTACCCGCCAAGTTTAAGATTACATGACGCAACTCTAACCGACCAATAAGGTGGCGTCCTTAAAATAACCACGCAGTATGACACAGAACCAAGAATAGATTGAAAATAATGTTCATGGGAAGAAGGTCATGTATGGGGGATTCGCTCTCTTGGGACATTCTCTCTTCCTAGATGTTTGGTTGACTCTTCTGATTTGTGAGAAAGGTGTTTTAGCTTGGAGCTTGAACGGTGCAAGTACAAAACCAAATAAAAAGAAAAGTCTGTGGTATCTTTCTTTCAAACTTGATCAACTCAGCTATTTCGGTGTCCAATATTACTTGGTATCTTGCTATAGTTACAACGTACATGGCATAATATCATGAATAAGGTTTGCCCCACTTTCTAGTAATACGCCGTTGTTTCAACTGGGATACATATATACATTGGTGCGGCAAAGTTCTGCCATTTTTACCTCCGCGTCGT